GATTCAGCTGCTGCTGAAACTGACCAGCAGCAGCTGAATCAGGGACGCCTGGGGCAGAGCCGGACTATCGTAAGGGGGGGCTATGAGGGGTCTGGGGTGGCATCCCCTCCCACCCCACTCCAGACCCCTCATAGCCCTCCCTTCTGATAGTCCGGCATATCTGATAATCCGGCACCCCCTGGGTCCTAAAGGTCCCGGATTATCGGAAGTTTACTGTACTTGCCTAGATACTATCATTTTAGATGGGCCTGGGGCAGAGCCGGACTATCGTAAGGGGGGGCTATGAGGGGTCTGGGGTGGCATCCCCTCCCACCCCACTCCAGACCCCTCATAGCCCTCCCTTCTGATAGTCCGGCATATCTGATAATCCGGCACCCCCTGGGTCCTAAAGGTCCCGGATTATCGGAAGTTTACTGTACTTGCCTAGATACTATCATTTTAGATGGTGCAAATTATCATAATCCTTCAGCGAATATAATCAAATCTTTTAATATGTACAGTACAAAAGAGCTAGTAAAAGCTACAATGTAATTATACATAGATCCCTGCATGGATACAAAATCTGTATACATATCCATACCTGAACCCACAAAAATGAGTCACAGATATCTACTGATTTGCAGGGTTCTAGATACAAAAATGCAGCAGATAGCCTCATCTACCTCCACGGTTGCAGAGAGCTGCAGATATAAATTGGATACCTGCGGGTTTGCAGGGCTCTAATTATGCACTATGAGTTGGCAGCTGGGACCCTGGGTGCCAGGCCATGTGGTAGCAGGGACCCTGGACACTCAGCTACACAGCAGTCAGGATTTGGGGGGGAGTCAGGATCGGGCAGCGGGGAGTTAGTTGGGCCTCCAGGTGCCAGGCCAGCTGCAGAGCCCCAACTAAAACCTGGTGGAGCGCCAGCACCTCCTGCACCCCTGGTTTCCATGCCTATACATTTAGCTTGATCAGATTCCTAGATAATTCTTGTAGTTAAGATAAGAAATTCAGAAACGATCCAAATTATCGTATGACCAGAAATGTTAATTTTCTCTATTATTGAAACCACCTTTGTCATTGATTTATTTTTAGATACCCACTGATGGGTATTTAAAAGTCTGTTTGTGGAGACTCTCATATACTCTCCTGCTGGCCACCACAAGGGAAGAGACCCCATTCATTCAAAGGACTGCTGCTCATTCTAAACCAGAATTGTAACAGAATTGCAGCCCCTGTCAGTCAGTGCAGCTCCATTGCCTTCAGTGGGGCTATGACAATGAACAGCTGCTTGGGAATTGGCCCAAACATTCCCAAGTCCAACTGGCAACTTGGAACCTGCTCTCTCACATTGTAAAGCTGTGAGTTTGTGCTCCCAAGTGACATTAGTTTGGCATGAGTTACTGAGACGCACTGTGACACTGAAACAGAACACAGCAGCTGATAGAGTGAGAAACCAATTTGTCCATATTGCATCCTCACCCAGGTCTCTTGCTGGGTCTTGTCTTGGGGGTAAAGGAGAAGAGGGACATTAGCAAGGAAGGGAGACACCATTTCAGGGAAGTCCATCACAGGTATCTCATTGGACTGCAGTGGATTCTGACGCTTCGGAGCATCCTCATGATTCTCTATGGATTTGCACAAGGAGATGGCCCGGCACACAACATCAGGGTTGGACTAAAGAGAACAAAGGAAGGCCAAGTCATTGTTCTGTTGATATCCACAATCCATCCTACTCAAAGTTAGCCTTGCAGCTTGGGGAGAAGAAGGGTACAAATAAAAAAAGCAGCAGCAGCCATCCCTACTACTTAGTGCTCCTCAGAGAAGCAAAGTGTAAGTGAACAATGCAAGAGTTGCTAAGATAACCAGCAAGGAAATTGTTTACAGAGCTGAAAGATTTATTTGCAATCCACACTCTCCACTTCCATGCGCTGGAACCTGTTCCATTGTTTCACTGTAATCCTGGTGCAGTCCCATACAGACCCACTAACTTTCTTCTATCTATATGTATAGAAGTGACAACAAAAATACATGCAGCCTGCCAATCTAAGTGCTTTAGAAATTAATGGAGATGAAATGTTAAATATCATAAAATGGAAAAAGGGTGGTGCAGCATCAAATTGTGTGCAGAAATAAACATTGGAGACACTGGAAAAGTAACTTAGGTTTTAATGGTGTTATCAGTTGCTGTAAGTCAATTAGGACCCTGAATTCAAATCTTGGCAGATAAGTGAAGTATTTGTTGATTGGCTATCTATAGTTCTGGGGGGTTATTACAGAATTTAGTGTATTGGATTGGAACCTGCTTATAATTCTCTTTCAGAAGCTTATTACCACATTCTATGTATTATTGTCCTAAAGGGACAAAGATGCAGCAATTCAGCCTGCTAATTTTACATCATAAATATGTGCCATTGTTTTCCCCCTAATCAATTACCAATATTTGTTTGCTCATCTCTATGATCATTATCAAGCTAGTATCCACCATCTTCTTGCACTTCAGTGACCAGTCCTGGTAAGGCAGGCACTGGCATATCTTATCCAAGAAAGCATGGATCTTTTCCTAGGAGACAAGAGGAGAGAGGAGAGTTATGGGTTGAGTTCACGTGCACAGTGACAAAAACATGTGTAACCCTTCCACATTCACAAGAGAGACTATGAAAAGTCTGGGCAAAAGGGACCATTATGATCATCTAGTCTGACCTCATGCACAACGCAGGCCACAGAATCTCACCCACCCACTCCTGGAATAATCCTCTCACCTCTCTCTCAGATATTGAAGTCCTCAAATGATGGTTTGAAGACCCTAAGATACAGAGAATACTCCAGCAAGTGATCCGTGCCCCATGCTACAGAGGAAGGCGAAAAAACTTCAGGACCTCAGCCAATCTTCCCTGGAGGAAAATTCCTTCCCGACCCCAAATATGGCGATCAGCTGAACCCTGAGCATGTGGGCAAGACTCACCAGCCAGACACCCAGAAAAAAGTTCTCTATAGTAAGAGAAATCCTGAAGCTCCACACTAGGGAAAGGCAGCTTTTTAGCAGAACGCAATATGGGTGGATAAAATATTTATTTTTCCATCCCCAAATTTAAAAAAGGCAATGCCAGATCTTCTGAGAGGTGAAAGGATGCCAATGCTGGCACCTACTACCCTGTAATACAAGAGGCAGATTTTCTGCAAGACCTGTCACTGTGAGAAAGAATTCTTATAGGTTTATAGGCTTCATAAAAGGCTTTAAAGCACTCTAGCTTATAAGGGAGATCCACTATCTTTTCTGTTTCACACACACACAAATTCTAACTAGAGAAAAGAAAGGAGGCTTAAAAAAACCTGACTACATGGCTGGATTGCTTCTGACCAGATGGAAAGGTGCTTGCACCAAAGGGAAAGAAGGGGGTGGGGGGTGCTGCGTAGCTGCTCCAGAATTCCCTTGCCACATCACATCACAGATCTTTGTAGCGTCTTCACAGACAGCATGGCACCCACCAGCTAACTACAGCTAAATGACTGCTCCAGGAGGGGCAGGGGAAGAAAGCGCACACAGCGCCAAGTGACAGAGTGTTCTGTAGAAAGTTGGGGCATATCAGAGATAAACAGCCGTGAGTCTACCCATGGGAGAGGGAAAGGGACCCATTTGCTAGTCAGCACCAAGTGACAGAATGTTCTGTAGAAAGTTGGGGCATATCACAGATAAACAGCCATGAGTCTACCCAGGGGAGAGGGAAAGGGACCCATTTGCTAGAGATGCTGAAGCCCAATGTCTCCATGTGTGCTAGGATTCTCAGGCTATGTCTAGGCTATAACTTTTTTTTTGGAAAAGGGTACGCAAAATGCACCCCACACTTTGCATACCCATTTCTGCTTTTCTTTTTTCCCTGAAAGAGGCTTTTCCAAAATTTGGCCCGTCTACACTGGGCCAAATTTCAGGAAAAAACCTTCTTTCAGAAGAGCCCTTCTTCCTCATGGAACGAGGAAGGCAGGGCTTCCTAAAGAGCATGTCTGCTCTTGCGCAAAAAAAGCAGAAGAGCAAACATGTTACCTGGACACAGCAAAGTTTTTTCAGGATATCTCCAGTATCCTGAAACCACCCCCGCAGTCTAGACGTACCCTCCCTTATACCCATTCCCTTCTTAGAATAGTAATAGAGATGTAGCCGTGTTAGTCCTGTCTTTTGTTTCAGCAAGACCAGACTATGCAGCACTTTAAAGACTAACAAGATGGTTTATTAAGTGATGAGCTTCTCATCACCTAATAAACCATCTTGTTAAGTCTTTAAAGTGCTGCATAGTCCTGGCTTTTGTTTCATTCCCTTCTTAAGCACTTTTCTACTGCAGTGTAACCCGAGGCAGCACAGTGTAGAGAGTCCTAAATGCAGAGGAGATTCTCAACCAATATCTGCATGGAAATCCCTGACTCGCAGGTAGAGAATAATAGTGTTAAGCTACTTCCAACCACCAGGTCATTTTCAGGTTTTGTGAACATTCTGATTACCCACCAGACAGAGGCTCTTATAGTTGCTTTCCTTTACCTCTCTGTGTGAAACTAGGTAACAAAAGCTAGTCATGATGTTCTTCCCCTTCCTTGCCCCTCCCTGGGTCACCACGATAGTTGCAAAGGCATCTAGTGCCCAAAGCCAGGAAAGCTGCTGGGTTCTTTAAGCTACTTACATCTGTACGATTGTCCTGCAAGATCTTCCCAACCACTGACACCGCCATTTTACATGCTAAGCAAGGGACGCTTTTCTAGGAAAGAGAAAAGAGAAAACATTACTTGAGAGGGATCCACATATTAGAACGTAAAATTGCTTTTCCCTTTCTTGTCTCTGCATCATGTAGTGAAGGAGGAAGCCAACAGCCAGCTTCCACATAGGCGCCAGTTTCAACCTCTGCTCTCCCAGCTCCTAAAAACCTGATCCTGGGCTCAGCTGTGTGGTGCTGCCAAAGGACCTCCTGTTCCCCTTCCCTCCACCCTGTTCCTGACTCAAATATAAGGATGGGGCAACTGAGAATGAGATTCTCAATGATTATGTACACAGAAACCCAATACGTTTTATTGGCGAGGGCAAGTTTCCAGCACACAGCAATTGTGCAGTTAAAGAGATCTAGGCTAGTCCAACATTTAGCTTCAGTTTCTACAGAAAAGTTCCATCCATGGGAATTCTTGGGAAAATGTATAGGCATCTCTACATGCTCATAAGCCTTTGGTTTTTATTGGAAGGCCTGCAAATCTTCTAGCGTAAGTTTTACAATGGTTTAATGTGATCTCTGGAATAATGCATTTTTTCTGGCAGGTGCAAGAGCTAAACGTTCATCCCTGTAAACCTAAAAAAAAGGGTTGTCTATTGGACTAATGATAGCCTGTCATAGAAGAGAATGATCCATGCAGAAAGGGACTGAAATAGAGATGTCAGCCAATCCGTCTGTCCCTTTCATTCGTTCACACAGTGCATGGATCCTCTTGGTATCAAAGAAAGATGTAATACAAACATTTTAGAGGATAAAATCACAGAGAAGCACAATTCAGAAGTCTCATTCCTTTAAGTAGGACCTGAACTTTAGAGGGAGCTGCATGTGGAAATATAAGGGCTAGGATAGACAATAAGAAGTGGTTCAGTGGGACTACACACTCACCCCAGGAAGCTTGTTCCAAACAGTCTGCCAACAGTGTTCCACAACCCCACATTGCAAAGCAGCTTGAAAATCCTTACACCAGTTCTCAGGACCCTCCGAGCACTCTTTCTGCCATGAGAGTGGGCTCGCCGCAGCTGCCAATGAGAGAAAAAAAGTCAATTTTCAAAATGAAGGGGATTCAACCTTTGAAGAAAAGTTACCCCATATTGTTCCATATGGAGGCCTTGCCCATATGCCCCATTCTAAGACATCTATATTACATTTTAACCTGCACTGCTGCCTAAGATTTCAGGTTATTTCAGTATTTATTGTATAGGCTGCCCCAGGCTTTCTAGGTCCTGATAACCCCCCAAACCCTGATTTGTTTCCTTCTGCAATTAACAAATTAAATTATACCTCCAGCACAGAAGAAACCCCTGATTCTAGTATGCTAAAAACCATGTAACAGCCCAAAAGAAAGTGGAAGAATCAAGGAGATAAAATAGATGAACTTTAGGAAAAGGATTCCAGAAACTTTAGTCCAAAGTTCCTCCAGTAGATCTCAGTCCCCCCAAGACTCCCTGACTTCACACAAAGTATGCCTTGAAAAGGAAAGTATTGGAGCAT